CACCACCACGCCCAGCTAATTTTTGTATTTTTAGCAGAGATGGGGTTTCTTCATGTTGGCCAGGATGGTCTCGATCTCTTAACCTCATGATCTGCCTGCTTTGGCCTCCCAAAGTGCTGGGATTTACAGGCGTGAGCCACCGCGCCCAGCCCACCTTCCTTCCAAGTTTGGATGATAGCCCATTGTATGGACAGACCACATTTTGCCCATTCACCCATGATGGACACCTGGGTTTCTTCCATCTCTTGGCTCTTGTGAATAACGCTGCCGTGAACACAGGCGTGCAGATACCTGTTTGAGTCCCTACTTTTAATTATTTGGGCAGGGCCATGGACCAATACCGGCCTGTAGCCCCCTTAGGAACTGGCTGCACAGCAGGAGTTGAGCTGCAGGTGAGCAAGCACCTGAGCTCTGCCTCCATCAGATCCGCAGCAGCATTCGATTCTCATAGAAGCACAAACCCTACTGTGAACTGTGCATACCAGGGTTCTCCGTATGGCAGTCTAATGCCTGATGGTCTGAAGTGGAACGTTTTTTGTTTTTCTTTCTCAGACAGAGTCTTGCTCCTTCACCCAGGCTGGAGTGCAGTGGCACGATGTCGACTCAGTCACTGCAACTCCCATCTCCCGTGTTCAAGCAGTTCTGCCTCAGCCTCACTAGTAGCTGGAATTACAGGCACACACCACCATGCCCAGCTAATTTTTTATATTTTTACTTATAATATTTATTTTCTTTTTGAGGGTGAGTTTCATTATCACACAGACTGGAGGGCACTGCTGCAATCTCAGCTTACTGCAGCCTCCACCTCCTGGGTTCAAGCCATTCTTGTGCCTCAGCCTCCCAAGTAGCTGGAATTATAGTTGTGTGCCACCATGCCCAGCTAATTTTTGTATTTTTAGTAGAGATGAGATTTCACCATGTTGGCCAGGCTGGTCTCACTCCTGACTTCAAGTGATCTGCCTGTGTCGGCCTCCCAAAGTGTCGGTATTACAGGCATGAGCCACCGCACCTGGCCTGGAGTGAAACAGTTTCATCCCAAAACCATACCTTTGCCCCATCCATGGAAAAATTGTCTTCCATGAAACCAGTCCCTGGTACCAAAAAGGCTGGCGGCCGCTGCTCTGGAGTACATGCCTAGGAGCAGGACTGTGGGGTCATATGGTCATTTATGTTTAATTTTTGAAGGAATTCAACTTCAATTATTATTACCAAAAATACTTAAAAATGGTATGGGAAACTAGCACACAGCCAGGAATCTGCAGCCAAGTTTGCCTCCTTGAATCCGCATACAAGCACAGGAATGAAGAGAGCTGCTTCCCTTCCACTGGGTCTCAGTGGAAGACGGGCAGGCAGGCATGGCGTGCTGAGGGAGACAGCATTCTCAAACTGCAGGTGAATGATGCTGCTGTGTTTCTCATTTCCGGAGGGTCCACCAGTGGTCTCATCTTTTCTCCCTCAAACCATGGATGGTGTCTTTTAAAGAAAATGACACCAGCCAGACACTTTGGGAGGCTGAGGCAGGTGGGTCACCTGAGGTTGGAAGTTTGACACCAGCCTGGCCAACATGGCGAAACCCCTAAAAATACAAAAATTAGCTGGGTGTGGTGCTGGGCTTCTATAATCCCAGCTAATGGGGAGGCTGAGGCACAAGAATCTCTTGAGCCTGGGAGGCCGAGTTTGCAGTGAGCTGAGATTGCACCATTACATTCCAGCCTGGGCAACAGAGTGAGACTCCGCCAAAAAAAAGTGCTAATCTCTGGGCCTTTATCTCCTGGCCTGCCTTGTTCCTGGGCTCACCAGGGTCCTTCTCTCTGCGGCCCAGGCCTCAGTCAACACCAAGGCTGAAAGAGCCCATTCAGAGGCCAGAAGGAAACTGTTAGGCTCGGAAACCGTGGGCCAGGCCAAGATGGAGAGATTCTGAGGCATGGTTCTAGAATGGGTTTTTCCGCCCACAGGCACTCAAGGAGGATGGTATTGCAAGATGGCTGGGTGGAGAGTCTGAGGGAGCCAGCAAGGCAAAAATCCCCAGCTCCCCCCGGACTCCTTCACAGTTTGTGTGTTCTCATAGAGCAACAAGTTCTGTGAGCCTGATTCAATCATCTGAGGTTCTTCCCAGGAAAATTATAGTGGGAACTCTGGCTTTGACGAAACTGCTTTTATTTCAAAGAATTTTACAAAATCAACGGGGCCTTAAAAAACAATCTGGATGAAACGGTTTTTGCCGTTTCAATTGGTTTTCTTCCATTATTACCAAAAATACTTGAAAATGGCATGGGAAACTAGCACACAGCTGGGACTCCGCAGCCAAGCTTGCCTCCTTGAATCTGCACACAAGCACAGGAATGAAGAGAGCTGCTCTCCTTCCGTTGGGTCTCTGTCTTGCTTCCAGTAGGTTTCCAGAATATTTTGGTTTTAAAATTTGGGGGCACAGATTTGCAAAGTGGATTTTGAAGGGTAGGGTTTCAAAGGGTGGTGGCTTTGAAAGTGGTCTGGGCTTCTGAAAGATTTGATTGAAAACCGGTTTGGCTCTCAGACATGCCAGACGCTTCTCCCGGAGTCCAGAGCCCTGATGGTGTTTTGGGAAGGAGGCCAGGCAGGGCGTCCTGGTGAGTGGACGCAGGGTGGGCGGGGTCACTCTTGCCCTGGGAGGTGGTGGAGGGCTTGGCACACCCCGTCTCAGGTCTGGCTCTGGGTGAATGTTTGTGTCTTCAGAAATCAGCTCCTGGTGGGTATTTCTCCTCCAGCCACCCCCCAGCATGGGCATTTCAGAAAAGGGTGGTTCTCTTGGTGAGAGGGCCATGGTTCCTCCAGTTTCTCCATTCCTACGGGCCATTTTCTTTTTTTTTTTTGAGACACAATCTCACTTTGTCACCCAGGCTCACTGCAACCTATGCCTCCCAGGTTCAAGTGATTCTCATACTTCAGCCTTCTGAGTAGCTGGGATTACAGGTGTGTACCACCACATCCAGCTAATTTTTTATATTTTTGGTAGAGATGGGGTTTTGCCATATTGGCCAGGCTGGTCTTGAACTCCTGGCCTTCAGTGATCCACCTGCCTTGGCCTCCCAAAGTGCTGGGATTACAAGTGTGAGCCCCCATGCTCAGCCCCTACAGGCCCTTTTCATCCCTGTCTCAGCCTGGATGCCAAGCTCCCTGGGTGCCTGTCCATGTGTGTCACCCTTTAAGGAGAAAGTGGCTTGGGGCTGGAAACAGGACTCTTTAGGGAAGGACAGTGTGTGTGAGAAAAGGCGTACTGATGGGCACACCAGGGTTTAATGGCTGGCTCTTTGAAGTCATGGGCTGAGCCAGAAGGAATTGTCTGGACGATTGGTCTCATTTCCAGATGAGGAAATGGAGGCCCAGGCTGTGTTGACCGACTGAGGGCACACGATCAGTAAGAACCCAGCCCTGGCTTTGCCCAGACCTCTCAAGGGCACTTTGTGGGAGTGTTGCTGGCCGTTGTGGCATCTGACCCTGGCCTTGCCCCCGTCCCTCTCTGCACAGCCCGAGTGAGTCCGAGCCAGCCCCAGGTCTCCGGGGTCCCGGCCCAACCTCTAGAAGAGCCAGCAGCAGGGCTGGATGAGGGCTGGAAGGGAGAGCACAGGACGGGCCTCGGGGCTTCCTTGGACCTCAGGCGGTTGACAGGAAAAAGCGGGGAGTTGGCAAAAAGGACAAACAGCTGAGCACCAGCCGCATGTCCAGGGGACGGGAGCCTTGCGCGACACGCAGATCGCTGGCCAGATTGGCAAAGGCGAGGAGAGAGGAAAATCCCAGGCTCTCAGGAAAAACCTCTCCAGCCCAGGGCGTGGCCTGGCATAAACCCGATGCAGCCCGGGGAAGCGGTTCCACCCCAGGCAGCCAACAAGGCCGTGCCTGAACTGTGTTCGTGAATGACGGAGCCACTGCCTGTGCCTCAGGGCTCAGTGCTGGGGCTGTGTCCAGGGACCCTTGGGTGTGCCCATGTTGGGGCTTCCGTTCCTTACCTGCCATGAGAGTGAGATGTTCAGGGACCTCCCTGCTCCAGCTGGGGCCTGTGGGCTTTGTCTGGTGTCCCAAGTGCCTTGGAGATGTCATTTCTAACACTCTGACCGAGGAATCCCTGCCCAAGGGACAGAGCTCAAAGACATGATCAAACAGAAGAAGTTCTGGTACAAGATAAACCCTGTGTGGTGGTGGGTGCTCCAGCCCTGGGCCTCATATCCTGACATCCCTGTGGGAAACTGGAGTGGTGCTGGGGCCCACCACTGATTCTCTGGCTCTGGCATCCCTGCCTGGCAGATCTGTCCCACACAGCCTGGCCTGAAACACTGCCTAGTGGCTAGATCCAGTAAGACAAGCCCCGAGTCATTCTGCTGAGAGGACCCAGAAACACAGAAGTTTTCTGGGGTCCTGGAGGCTTCTGGCCACGGGGAGCCCCTGGGCTCCAGTGATCCAGCCCTGATGTGCTATGGGGTTCAGGGTGCAGCTGCAGGGCGGAGGAGAGCGCCACCCCCCCAGGTAGGGGCTGGCAGTGCGTGAGAGGCACGCTGAGGTCCCTTAGCCTGCTCTCCGCACTGGGCTGCGGAGAGCCTGAGGGTCATGGGGTAGCTGACAGAGGCAGGAAGGGCCCATGCAGCAGCAATCACTGCGGCTGATGCTGCACTTTCCCGGGGAATTGAATGTGGGTGCCCATCTCCACCATCCCAGCCACTGGCCTCCTCGAAATCCTCCCCCTCTTACATCAGCAGACCTCCTGTTTGGGGACCCCCTCAGTGACTCTCTGTGCTTGCCTTCATGATCCTCCCCATGGAGGACTTAGGGTCAACGTGGGGGTCAGAGGTTAGTTTACCTCCTCAGGCAGTTTGTTGCTGTGGTCCCCACACTCTGACACCTTCTTGTGAAATGAACAAACACATTTTTTTTGTGTGTGTGTGAGACAGAGTCTCACTCTATCTCCCAGGCTAGAGTGCAGTAGTATGATCTCAGCTCACTGCAACCTCCACCTCCTGGGTTCAAGCGATTCTCCTGCCTCGGCCTCCCACATAGCTGGGATTATAGGTGCGAGCCACCAGCTAATTTTTGTATTTTTAGTAGAGACAAAGTTGCATCACATTGGCCAGGCTGGTCTCGAACTTCTGACCTCAAGTGATCCACCTGCCTTGGCCTCCCAGAGTCCTGGGATTACAGGCATGAGCCACCTTGCTGACACAAACACATTTTTTTTAAACAAGTGAAAATGAGTTTATTAAGAAAGGTAAGAAATAAAGGCTACTCCCTAGGCAGAGCAGCCTGAATAAACACTTTTTTTTTTTTTAAGCAGAGGCTTGCTCTGTTGCCCAGGCAGGAGTACAGTGGTATGATCTTGGCTCACCACAACCTTCACCTCCTGGGTTCAAGCACTTCTACCCTGAGTAGCTGGGACTATAGGTGCACACCACCATGCCTGGCTAATTTTTGTCTTTTTTATACAGACAGGATTTTGCCATGTTGGGCAGGCTAGTCTCAAACTCCTGGCCTCCCAAAGTGCTAGGATTATAGGCATGAGCCATCACACCTATATGGCTCACAAACATATTTTAAGTTAGAATTTTAAGTTAGAATAATAAGGGAGTTGGACCAGGAAGTGTGGATTTGGGGAGACCCTGCTCTCCCCAGGCGCCTTCCTGGTAGGTTGGCTGTGCCTCCTCTTGCATGCCTTTAATGGCAGGGGCTCCCTCCCTTGCAGCCCCTGCCAAGCTGGATAACCAGCCTCGCTCTTGTATCTAGCTGAATCTACCCCGTTAACGGCACCTGCCAGTCCTTGTCCAAACCTCGAAGCTCAGGACCTCACAGAGCATACCACGTCCTCTTCTATGTCAGATTCACTTAGATCTCAGAAAGCAGCAATGTCTTCTCTCCCCAGGATTGAACAAAAATGAGATTGAACAAAACCCATTCCTCCTGTGAAAGCCAGTAAGACTGGGGGCAGAGCAGCCCGCTTTCTGCCCCAGCGGCTATAGGGGACACCAGCCACCCACCCTCAGCTTCTTCCTCCACTTCTTGGAGAATGTTTGGGATGTGGATGGAGACTGGCAGAGAAACGCTGGTGTGACTTTCTGCAGCAGTTTAGAGCAATTCTGAATCTGAGCTGGTGAGGAGGCCAAAACCTGCTCTGCTCAGCAGACTGGTCATGTCTTCTTTTTAAATTTATTTATTTATTTGAGACAAAGTTTCACTCTTGTTGCCCATGCTGGAGTGCAGTGGTGTGATCATAGCTCTTTGCAGCCTTGAACTCCTAGGCTTTTATTTATTTATTTATTTATTTGTTTGTTTGTTTGTTTGTTTGAGATGGAGTCTCACTCTGTCGCCCAGGCTGGTGTGCAGTGGCACAGTCTTGGCTCACTGCAGCCTCTGCCTCCCGGGTTCAAGCAATTCTTCTGCCTCAGCCTCCCAAATAGCTGGGATTACAGGCATCCATCACCACACCTAATTTCTGTTTTTGTTTGTTTGTTTGTTTTGAGACAGAGTCTTGCTCTGTCACCCAGGCTGGAGTGTAGTGACACAATCTTGGCTCACTGCAACCTCTACCTCCCGGGTCCCAGTTCAAGCAATTCTCCTGCCTCAGCCTCCTGAGTAGCTGGGATTACAAGCATTCGCTAGCGTGCCTAGCTAATTTTTATATTTTTCGTAGAGATGGGGTTTCACCATGTTGGCCAGGCTGTTCTTGAACTCCTGACCTCATGATCCACCCACCTCACCCTCCCAAAGTGCTGGGATTACAGGCGTGAGCCACTGCGCCCTGCCTAATTTTTGTATTTTTAGTAGAGACAGGGTTTTGCCGTGTTGGCCAGGCTAGTCTCGAACTCCTGACCTCAGGTGATCCACCGTTCTTGGCCTCCCAAAATGCTGGTATTACAGGCATGAGCCACTACACCCGGCCTTCTTTTAAAATAAATATATATTTTTTGAGACTGTACCTTGCCCCGTTGCCCAGGCTGGGGCGCAGTGGCATAATCATGGCTCATTGTAGTCTCCACCTCCCAGGCTCAAGCCATCCTCCCACCTCAACCTCCTGAGTAGCTGAGACCACAGATGCCTGCCACCATGCCTTGCTAAATTTATTTTTTGTAGAGACAGGGTCTTGCTATGTTTTCCAGGCTTGTCTCAAACTCCTGGGCTCTAGCAGTCCTCCCGCCTTGACCTCCCGAAGTGCCAGGATTACAGGCGTGAACTGTCATGCCTGGCCTGATCTTTTCTTTAATGGCATCAAGCTCTGTGTTGTCCAAACACCTCATGTATTAAACAAGAATTGGGGGCGGCAGCATTCACACTTCCCAGCCCTTCCCTGAGCTTGGGCATGACGTGAATGTGGAGACAGCAACAGGGTCCCTGCGTGTGCAGGCTGCAGGACTCAGGGGTGCGCTTGTGTGCACCTGTGTGTGTGCATGCGTGTGCACAGGTGCAAGGGCATCTGTGAGCCATTTTCTTACAGGAAGGCATGGGCAGATGACCAGCTGGAAGTGCAGGTGCACGTGTCCTCAAACAATGGCTGGTGCCTCATGCTGGCTGCTGGCTGTGACCAGGGTGACAGAGCAAAGAGATCCTTTCCTTAGGTGGGTGGAGCAGGGCTTAAGCATAGTCCACGTGCAGAGATGAGTGTGGACTTGAAAGACCCTCTCCCCTTGTATCAGTGTGCAGGGGAGGTCTTGAGATCACTGCCCTACAGAAACCAGGCCGGGCCTGTCATCCCACCACTTTGGGTGGCCGAGGCAGGTGGATCACCTGAGGTCAGGAGTTTGAGACCAGCTTGGCCAACATAGTAAAACCCTGTCTCTACTAAAAGTATAACAATTAGTTGGGTGTGGTGGCGTGCACCTGTAATCCCAGCTACTCAAGAGGCTAAGTCAGGAAAATCGCTTGAACCCAGAAGTTGGAGATTGCAGTGAGCCAAGATCTCGACATTGCATTCCAGCCTGGGAGACAGTGAGACACCATCTGAAAAAAAAAAAGAAGCCTAAAGAGTTCCCTCCCTGGGGCCAAGGTGCTAGCTCTCCACACCTACCCACAACTGTGCCTGCTGGGGAGAGACAGTGGGAGGGGCCCCTGCAGGGATGGGGGATGCCTCTGAGCATTCCAGGCAGGCGGGCACAGGTGGGAGCCCCTGGAGCTGTAGCCTTGTCAGCCAAGGCATCCGGCCCCTTCCTGCGTGGGGTCTCAGACACGCAACCCCATCCCCGGATGTCCACGACAGTATAGCTTCTTCATCTCCAGCATGGACCCGAATTTCCTCAGGAGCCCCCTGAATCCCTGGGGAACAGGAAGAAAACACCCATTTTACCCTCGTGGATATACACAAAACACAGGCACCCACGTATACACTTGCACACGCCTGGCGTCTCAGCCCATGGCCGCTTCTGCCCCACTGCTTATCTTTGTAGCAGGACATAGGCACATGCCTGGGACCAGGGCTCTCATCCAAGCTGATATGTCCCCCTGCCCCCAACTCTAGGTACCCAGCATTTTCAGCCCAGAATCATGGGAAACTCCTGTCAGGCCCCCACAGTGCTGAGCCCAGAGGCTGGCTTGCAGGGACTGGGGGAGGTGGGCTCCTCTCAGCTTCCCCCAGCCTGGCCTGGCATCCCCTGGACCCCCGGCAGGGCAGGTGGCTCAGCCCCTTGTGGGTTTTCTTTGGGGGAGGAGGGGACAGAGTCTCACTCTGTCACCCAGGCTAGAGTGCAATGGCATGATCTCGGCTCACTGCAGCCTCCACCTCCTGGGTTCAAGCAATTCTGCCTCAGCCTCCTAAGTAGCTGGGACTACAGGTGCAAGCCACCATGCCCGGCTAATTTTTGTATTTTTAACAGGGATGGAGTTTCGCCATGTTGGCCAAGCTGCTCTCTAACTCCTGACTTCAGGTGATCCACCTGTTTTGGCCTCCCGAAGTGCTGAGAGCCACTGCGCCCGGCCCTGTTCCAGGATCTTGGCTCTCTGTCCTGGGCAAGGGGCTTCCAGGGCCCTTTGATTCTGGCCACAATGCCAAGCCTGCCCTGCAGCCCTGGGAGAGGCCCCCAACCTCCCATTGCCCCAGAAAGGGCTTACTCAACTGTTTCCGCCAACCGGTGAGACCTGTGCCTGCCTGAGGAAGGTGTGAGCCGGGCCACTTAGCAGTGCTCCCTCCGGGGGTGGATCCACCTCTGAGTCCTGGGCCTGCTGCCGGGCACCGGGCTGGGCCGGCCAGGCCCTGGGCATCTTCCACCAGGGGGCAGCCACGGCTCAGGAATGCAGCCTGCAGCTCACCCTCGGCTAAACGCGGCTACACGCAGGGCACGGGGTGGCCGGCCAAAGTGAGTGTGTGCCTGGTCATTCAGTGTCCCCCATGGGTCTGAGAGCCCTGAGACCACCCGGGTGAACATCCCTCCAGCCCGAGGGATGCTCCTCTCTCCTGGGCCTCTGAGCCATGGTCCTTGTCAGGGTGTGGGTGACTGTGCAGTCTGGATTCTGGACAGGCCGTGGAGGGCACAGGAAGTGGCTGCTCAACCCCCTGGGTGGCTGGACCAAGGGGGCACTGGGTGATCTGGTGGCTCCATGGGAGGGCTGGGCCCTGTCACTCAGACTTCTGACATCCTCATGATCCCCGTCTTCACTGTGATTCCCCACTGGGCCCCACAGTGCCCTCAGCACCATCCTGGCCATGCTGGCTGCAGCTGCCCTCCGGCTGAACGCTGTCCGTGAGGGCGACCTGTTTCCAGTTTGAACCGAGTGCACACTGACTCCATCACTCACTTGCTGTTGGGGTCACTGCTCTGGCCCCCCTGGGGGACTCGAGGAGCTGAGTGGCTCCCACTCCCCCAGACCTGAAGCCCCAAGATGCACCGCCAGGACCTCCGGCTGAGGCTGCCCTTTGAGCCTCTCCCCTGTAGGTGGCCAAGGTCACATCATCCCTGAGGTGGGAGCACAGGGCCCTGTCCCACCTCCAGCACACGCAGTCCAGCCAGCCCAGGTGCCCCCAATGGCAGGAATGTGGCATCTCTTCCCACCAGTCAGTAGCTCTGCCCAGTCCTCTGACCCCACACTCCCCTTTACATGCCCTCTGGAGCCGGCAGCTGGAAGCCCCTTCAAGGATCCTTTGCTAAAGCAGAGGCTTTTCATGGGGAACAAAGGCCTCTCCCAGCATCCCTGGGGCAGGTCCCCTGTCTCAGAACCACAGCCCCAGTGTGGCTGCACAGTCTTTGTCCAAGCGGCATCGTGTAGGCATCCACAGGAGTATAAAGAGGTGTTGGGGAAGGGAGGCAGCAACCCAGGTCAGAAGTTGTAAGCAGAGGCCACCTGAAAACCCAGTCCTAGGGCTGCAGGGAGCTGGGGCCGGCCTCACATGGGCTCCCCACTCTTTCCTCTCTTCCCCTCCCCTCCTCTCCTGTCCTCTCTTTTTGATATGGAGTCTCACATCTTCGCCCACGCTGGAGTGCAATGGTCCGATCTCAGCTCACTGCAACCTCTGCCTCCCAGGTTCAAGCAATTCTCCTGCCTCAGCCTCCCAAGTAGCTGGGATTACAGGCACATGCCAGCACATCTGGCTAATTTTTGTATTTTTAGTAGAGACAGGGTTTCACCATGTTGGCCAGGTCTCGATCTCCTGACCCCAGGTGATCTGCTCTCGGCCTCCCAAAGTGCTGAGATTACAGGCATGAGCCACCACTCCTGGTTTCCTTCCCTCCCTCCCTCCCTCCCTCCCTCCCTTCCTCTCTCTCTTTTCTTTCTTTCTCTCTTTTCTCTCTTCCTCCCCTCCCCTCTTTCTCAGGATCTTGCTGTGTTGCCGAGGCTGGAGTGTAGTGGTGCAGTGAGCTGTGATTGCACCACTGCAGCCTGGAACCCCCTGGGTGCGAGGAATCCTCCTGCTTCAGCCGTCTGGGTAGCTGGGACTACAGGCATGCACTACCATGCCTGATTAAAAAAAAATTTTTTTTTTTTTGTAGAAACAGGGTCTCACTATGTTGTCCAGGCTGGTTTTAGGGTTGAATTCCTCCTGCTTCAGCTTCTCAAAGTGCTGGGATTATAGGCATGAGACGCCATGCCCAGCCAGGATTGTGTTGAGTATACAGATCAATTTGGGGAGCACTGCCTGTCTATCCTTGAACATGGTCTGCCTCTTCATTTACTTAAGCCTCTTTTAATTTGTTTCAACGTTTGTCTTTTTTAGCATACAAGCCTTGCACTTCTTTGGTTACATCTATTCCTAAGTATTTTGTGATTCTTCATGCTATTGTGAATGAAATTGTTCTTTTATTTTCAGAATGTTTGTTGCCAGTATATATAAAATAAAATAAAATTATTTATTTATTTATTTGGAGACAGAGCTTCATTCTTGTTGCCCAGGCTGGAGTGCAATAGTACAATCTTGGCTCACTGCAACCTCCACCTCCCAAGTTCAAGCAATTCTCCTATCTTAGCCTCCAGTGTAGCTGGGATTACAGGTGCCCACAACCACACCCCGCTAATTTTTGTATGTTTAGTAGAGACAGGGTTTCACCATGTTGGTCAGGCTGGTCTTGAACTCCTGACCTCAGGTGATCTTCCCGCCACGGTCTCCCAAAGTTCTGGGATTACAGGTGTGAGCTACCACACCCAGCCTACAATTTATTTTTATACATTTATCTTATATCCTGCTACCTTACTAAGCTTTATTAGTTCTAATAACTTTGGGGTGATTTCTTAGGATATACAAGACCATCATCTGTGCATAAAGATAGTTTTACTTCTTCCTTTCAATCTGGATGCTTTTATTGTCTTTCTTTTGTCTTATTTCATTTTGGTTTTTCCTTATCACACTGAGTAGAGCCTGCAGTATAATGCTGAATAACGGTGGCACCTCAGATGCCCCACTCGCTTTGTGCCCCTGTTAAAGGGAAAAGATTCTGGCATTTACTGTTATATACTTTAACTGGGACAGGCACTGTGGCTCATGCCTGTAATCCCAACACTTTGGGAGGCCAAGGCAGGAGGATTGCTTGAGCCTGGGAGTTTGAGACCAGCCTGGGCAACATAGCAAGATCCTGTATGCAAAAAAAAGAAAAAAAAATTTCAGTTAGCTAGGTGTGGTGGTGTGCACCTGTGTCCCAGCTACTTGACAAACTGAGGCAGGAGGGTCCCTTGAGCCCAGGAGGTCGAAGCTGGAGTGAGAGACTTGTCTCACAAGTCTCTGAGGCTCTTCTCATTTTTCTTTAAATTTTTTCTCTGTTCTTCAGATATCTTTTTTTTTTTTTTGAGACTGAGTTTTGCTCTTGTCACTCAAGCTGGAGCCCAATGGCACCATCTGTGCGCCAGCCTGGGCAACAGAGTAAGACTCTGTCTCAAAAAATGTATATACATAAAATATAAAAATTTAATATATTGCATATATGTTATATAATATAAAATATTTTATATATTATATACTTTATATATACTATACATATTAACTATACGTTTTCCATAGATCACTTTATCAGTCTGAGGAAATTTTCTC